TTATTTCAGTCACGTTTAATTCCAACGATTGAGACTTATTAGGCTCAGCATATTCTTTCAGAACGCCTGAAGATAAGATGATATAAATAGGAAAACCCGACTGTTTGGGAATCTTAGCGGGGCTCAAATACAGATAGAGGTAATACGCTGACGAATAAAATAAAGCAACATCATATTTACACAGAATAAATGTCCTAAATTCTAGTGCCATCCAATGTCGTTGTTAGTAATGGAAGCGGACGTGTGACTTTATTTGATACTAGCAGTAGAGCCGTTGCCCGGGGATGTAACAGTAAGAGATAGATCAAGTATCGACCACCATAAAGATCGCGAATGCCGTGATCCATCAGCGGCGTAGGGGCACCCATCTATACTTTTATAGTCGACTCTCCCGTCGAGATTCGACGTATGAGGGTCAAGCAGATCAGTTTCCAGGAAACCGACAGTCCGACACCGGCACATGAGATTTGATTATAGTGGTGGAGGCCTCGTGCAGGACCAACCACACTTTTTGAAGGGACGAATACAGAGAACCGGTGCACCGAATGCCACAAGGTTCCCAAACGACCCTCCGCAGGTTTTGAATTCAGAGTTGTCCTTCTCCTAGACCACTTGCCATCCAAGGCTATAGAACCCAGTATGTCCTGCTATTTTACCGATTCTTATTTCAGTGATTAATTCCCATTTCTCTGCTTATTCCTCTGTCCGTTGATGAAGCACATAGGAGTGTCCGAAAATTCCGAACATAAAACCTTTCTCTCCGTGCTTCATTTCTGTCATCTGGTCAATAATTAATATTTAATAGATGTTTATTATACTGCTTATATGGGTACCCAATCCCTTATGCTTGTTTTATTAACTAACCTATCTATTTTATATATATGTGTAAAATCTTATAAGCTGATTGATGTTGCCTTCAGCATCCCGACTCCAGGGTTTCGTAGACGGAACTGACCGTCCACTCTTCAGGAGCAATCAACAATTTACTGCTTATGTTAATTATATTAATATATCTATTATTGTATTTGAGAGAGAAAAGGCAAAACTTTTGCAATAAATTTTTCAATATCAAAGATAGAGCATTAATAGAATTAATATAAGCAGTAAATTGATGATTGCCCCTGAAGAGTGGACGGTCAGTTCCGTCTAAGAAACCCTGGAGTCGGGATGTTGAAGGTAACATCAATCAACTAAGTGATAAGCTTTTACTCATATTATAGTATATATATAATATACTAGCAGTAGAACCCGGCGTTGCCCGGGGATGTAACAGTAAGAAATAGATCAAGTATCGACCATCATAAAGACTGAAAAATAAAATTGACAAAGATTATTGTTTAAGGTTGACAGCCACGCATGTCTTAATTATTTTTTTTTTTTTACGAATTGGTCAAACCCAAACTCAAACAAAAACATTGTTTACGATCGTTATGAGTCTATCGATTGGTGAATAGAATTTTATTATAAACAATTGCCTTGTAAATGGAATCTTTAAAGCATTCTGAATGTAAAAATAAAGAAAAAAGTGTGCAAGACAATAAGAAACACTACCTGCAAAAAAAAAGTGGTTTTGTTGAAATCGGTTGAAAAATGTAGGAAATCCGATCCCATATATAAACGAATACACACACACACACACACATACACAACCTGGGTTTTTTAATAAGTATTAATCGATATGAGTTGTCCTCCTTTCATTCTCACGACAGCGATGCCTCTTAATCCTGTTTTCAAATTGATTACGTGCAAAAACAATTGTGTTTTTCCAATTTTTGGCGCTGTCAGAACCACCGCAAGGTAATTTTACGTAGTCCTGTGAAGTTTTCTTGAAATCGGTTGAAAAATGTAGGAAAGCCGATCCAATATATAAACGTAGAGACACACACACACACACACACACTCACACACACACAACCTGGGTTTTATAATAAGTATAACTCGATATGAGTTGTCCCACTTTCATTCCGCGAAAGCGATGCCTCTTAATCGTGTTTTCAAATTGATTTCGTTCAAAAACAATTGTGTTTTTCCAATTTTTAGCGCTGTCAGAACCACCGCAAGGTAATTTTACGTAGTCCTGTGAAGTTTTGTTGAAATCGGTTGAAAAATGTAGGAAATCCGATCCAATATATAAAACACAGACACACACACACACACACACACACACACACACACACACACACACACACATATAACCTGGGTTTTATAATAAGTATGATCTACAGTTAAATTATACTTTTGGTGAACTTGTTTAAGCCTGCGTTAGTCGCCTCGGATTTTCGACAATGGATAGACCCCTGGTGTCGACAAACCCCAATATAAATTTGCTTATGGTGTTACAATTATGTAAAATATTGTCACTGGCCCCTCGTATTCGAGGATACCCGTCTGCTAGGGCGGCTATCCAATCCTATTACAGACGCTTAATCAAGCGCATTGTTTTGTTTAGTCAACACCCACAAAGCCAACCTGTGGTTTATACTGCAACTATATTGAGCAGCCTTTAGTAACAGTTTCTGCGAAAGAGCATGTTATCTAACGGGACCAACAATTTGAACAAGGCCAGAACGCCCTCGGCCACGATGACGTGTGACTTCGTGCTAGCAAAGATATCGACGGCTCCCAATTTCACTCACAAGGTTTGGGTCAACCCGTGGTATGGTTTTCAGGAACTTTCCAAAGAACCTTCACGCTGGGATCGAGCCCTCCAGTCCGGTATCAGGAAGTTTCCTTCCTGACAAATCGACCATGGTGAAATTAGAACTCGGGTCTCATAGACAGAAAGCCCATATATAAATATTTTATATGTAAAATATTGTCGTAGTATTGAATAGAAAAATACGTAACAGGGAATTTCCGTTACAGTAGACGTCAAATCAAGTCTGGAACTGAACGTATAATTATTTATTGAAATGAAAATTATAATAAATTTGTTGCATAAACATATGTTGTAAATTGCAGATGAAACCTTTTCTTTTTATGTACCATGTAGGTGACCATGGCTCCCCACTTCCCCCCTTATCGTTTGTAACTCAAAATGTTTTGTCCCTTTTGCTACTTCGCCCAGGCCATGTTTTGTCATCCATTTGCTTAAGCCCGCTAAGTATGTTATGCGTTGTCCACGTAGGCGATCATGGCTCTCCACTTCCTCCTATCCCTAGTAGCTCCCAATAAGTTTTGTCGCTCTGCCACCCCCTCCAGACGACATTCTGTCATCCACTTGCTTAATCCCGCGAGGTATGTCATGTGTTGCTTTCCCTTGTCTCTCTTTCCCTCTATTCGACCTTTATGTGCCGTGTCCATTCAGGACGTAGGCGATCATGGCTCTCCACTTCCTCCTATCCCTAGTAGCTCCCAATAAGTTTTGTCGCTCTGCCACCCCCTCCAGACGACATTCTGTCATCCACTTGCTTAATCCCGCGAGGTATGTCATATGTTGCTTTCCTTGTCTCTCTTTCCTCTATTCGACCTTTATGTGCCGTGTCCATTCAGGACGTAGGCGATCATGGCTCTCCACTTCCTCCCATCCCTAGTAGCTCCCAATAAGTTTTGTCGCTCTGCCACCCCTCCAGACGACATTCTGTCATCTACTTGCTTAATCCCGCTAGGTATGTCATATGTTGATTTCCCTTGTCTCTCTTTCCCTCTATTCGACCTTTATGTGCCGTGTCCATTCAGGACGTAGGCGATCATGGCTCTCCACTTCCTCCTATCCCTAGTAGCTCCCAATAAGTTTTGTCGCTCTGCCACCCCCTCCAGACGACATTCTGTCATCTACTTGCTTAATCCCGCTAGGTATGTCATATGTTGATTTCCCTTGTCTCTCTTTCCCTCTATTCGACCTTTATGTTCCGTGTCCCTTCAGGACGTAGGCGATCATGGCTCTCCACTTCCTCCTATCCCTTGTAGCTCCCAATAAGTTTCGTCCCTCTGCCACCCCCTCCAGACCACGTTCTGTCATCCACTTGCTTAATCCCGCTAGGTATGTCATGCGTTGCTTTGCCTTGTCTCTCTTTCCCTCCATTCGACCTGTGAGTATCAGATTCTCCCAGCCTTCCTTTCTCATTACGCACCAAATCAGTGAGAGAGAAATGTTTAATCATCAAATATAGCCACAATATATTTCCATGAATAGAAAGACATTACATTAACTAGTAGCTAAACTCGTGGTTTTTAAACATTTTTTTTTGCAAATGCACCACCTTTGCACTTAATATGTTTTGGTGGACACCCATAAAGATTCGATGAAATAAAAATTTGTTTGATTTTTTACTGATAGATAGGTTTAGGAATTGTATTATAGAAATAGTAAGTGTACGAGTGGGGACACAAAAGTAACCGGTATCGTTTTCTGTGTGACAATCCCGTAGTAGTTCAGGCTTCCACCGCTAGGTGCCACTTGAGGCAACCCTCAGGCATCACTGTGCTAACTGTTGTCATCGTGGGAAGATGTACAGCTGCGTGGTTCACATTTGTTTTAAAGTGCTTCACGCCTTTTCGTCTACTTTTACCATGGCTGAAAGCAAGCGATTCGTAAACTGAAAGAACAGTTCGAAGTTGATCAGACCTTTTTTCGAAGGTCATCACTGGTGACGAAAGCTGGTGCTATGGCTACGACCCGGAAACAGTTCGAAGTTGATCCAGACCTTTTTTCGAAGGTCATCACTGGTGACGAAAGCTGGTGCTATGGCTACCACCCGGAAACAGTTCGAAGTTGATCCAGACCTTTTTTCGAAGGTCATCACTGGTGACGAAAGCTGGTGCTATGGCTACGACCCGGAAACAGTTCGAAGTTGATCCAGACCTTTTCGAAGGTCATCACTGGTGACGAAAGCTGGTGCTATGGCTACGACCCGGAAACAGTTCGAAGTTGATCCAGACCTTTTTTCGAAGATCATCACTAGTGACGAAAGCTGGTGCTATGGCTACGACCCGGAAACAGTTCGAAGTTGATCCAGACCTTTTTTCGAAGGTCATCACTGGTGACGAAAGCTGGTGCTATGGCTACGACCCGGAAACAGTTCGAAGTTGATCCAGACCTTTTTTCAAAGGTCATCACTGGTGACGAAAGCTGGTGCTATGGCTACGACCCGGAAACGAAGCAGCAATCAAATCAGTGGAAGGATCCAACGAACGTCACCACGACCCAAAAAAGCGCGTCAAGTAAAGTCCAATGTCAAGACGATGCTGATTTGTTTCTTTGACGTGAAAGGGATTCTCCGCGAAGAATTTGTTCCTCCTGGTCAAACTGTTAACCAGGTTTTTTACTTGGAAGTCCTGAAGTGTTTGCGAGACAAAGTGAGACGAAAACGCCCTGACATGTGGCAAAGTGGAGGGTGGTGGTTTCATCACGACAATGCGCAAGCGCACACCGTCTTGAGTGTGAGACAGTTTCTGACCAAAAATGGCATGACCCCAATTCCCCACCCTCCCTATACCCCCTGCAACTTTTTTTTTGTTCCCTCGAATGAAGAAAGTCCTCAAATGAAAATTTTTTGCAGATGCCGAAGAGATTAAGAAGAAAACGATGAAGTCATTAAAACACATAACTTCACAAGAGTTCCAGGGTTGCTTTGAACAGTGGAAAACACGTCTGGAACGGTGCATTGCTTCAAATGGAGAATACTTTGAAGGTGATAAGAATATAAACATGTTACAATAAATGAATAAAATTATATGACACGTATATCCCGGTTTCGTTTACCCACCCCCCTCGTATATGCTTCATTTTGAAGTAAATCCTATTTAATGAAAATAAACTTGTATTTAACAATTAAATTCTATGTACAATCATAAAATAATTCATAACAGACAATTTTAAAATGGACCCCTGTGGACTTCAGTAATGTTACATGTAACATAAATATTACATATGTATATATATATGAATCATTAAAATTTACTTTCAGAATCAGGTGCGTCGACAAGACACTGCAAACCAGACAAAGCGACGACTACATCCGACGAAAAATGAGCAACATTTGTGTCACACCGGGTGCTACATACTTTTACTGAGTCAAGAGAGTAGTGGGAAGGAGCAAAAGAAACAATTTGTCATTTGTCAACTAGGAATTACGAGTACTTAGTGAAACAAAACACTGCCTGTCACTAACGTAGGGTTAAAAGTGCATATTTACCAAAATTACACAAAAATATCTTGAAATACTAAAGAGTAAATTTATTCAATAAAATCGCCATTAGCTTCTACCACGGCCTCCAGACGACTTCGGAATCTCTTGTAACTTTTGTTCGTGAATGCTGCCATAATCCTTGCCTTTAGTTCATCTTTGCTGTTACAACAGTTTTTGTTGATCTCTCACGCCCACGCATGATAATCAAGGGAGTTACAGACTAGGGAGACTGGTGACCAGATATAAAGGATGATCTGGTCGCAGAAATTGTCTGACAGCCATGACTGGGTTCTCTTGCTTGTTACCAGATATATTATCTCTCAACTGTCATCCTCTTGACCCAGGGCACCACTATCTCCTAAAGAAATTGATGTGTCAAGTCTGAGGTCCTGTGGCAAGATTAATGGAGTTAGATTAATAGAGTTATTTTCTTACCAGAACGATCATAGTGAGTTTCCACCTCTTTGCACTGTCCTTGACACACAAACACTCTGAAATGTTCACTGAAATTCCTGTAATGGATATTCCGGTTCGAATGCCATGCAGTAGAATATGCCGTTTCCAAAACGTTGGCGGAGTGAATGGCGTCATGGAAGTCTTTTTTTCTACAGATAGTGCCCAACTGACCCTACTATACTGTGCAGTCGTCAAAATTAAAACAAATTACGCGCATGCGCGAAATCAAAAATATGAAATAGCGACAATTTACCCATAGCACCCTGTAAATATGGAGGTGAACTGAAAGGTACTCTGATCCATCAAGATGGCGTTTTCCAACAAACTGGTGCTTGCTGTTTGGTCGAATTGCTAGGGTTGAGAACATTTAAGTCTTAGTTTTCATCTTCTAGATTTATTTGCAGTCAAATATTCAAGGAGATGCCATAAGCTTATAATTCCTGGAGTTGTCATTTAGCCATTTAAATACTAATCATTAGTTATTGATGAAAATGTTCCTTTATCGATGATGCAGGCCGTTTAGGGTTTAATCAATCAATGTCAACTTTTCAAAATATAACAAATCGGTCGAGTTTCAATCCCGACTTGAGGCAATCTGATGTCTAGCCACACTAATGAGCCGTGATACAGAGAAACAGGCTTGTATGTGGAGGACATGCTCCCTTTTGCCGAAAGGGCACTATTTTTAAAACAGTGGCTGCTTCTGCCTATAACGCATCCCTCTTCAGTCTTTAATTGAGCGCACTGGCTGATGGTTTGGCGTTTATATACATCACGTATATAATACGTTAAAGGGTTCCCGTTCTCTGGCGTGCGCCAATAGCTTACGGTTAGAATCTCTGGCTGATGCCAAATCGGTCGTGTTTCGATCCCGTCTTGAAGCAATCGGATGCCTAGTCACACAGATATATAATTACAATGAATCATTCACACAAAAAGTAAATTAGTAAGTTAATGATATAAAATGGCGCTAACAAAATTTTAAAGATGCATTAACCTACCAATCGTTATTTACATTATTCAGACTATGGTCGTCATCATTGTCGCCATATTTATTACAACGTTTCGGCCGTTGTACGCTCCGGCCTTCTTCAGGTGGTTGGAATGTCGAACTGAACCTTTTATTTCGCTCACAGTGGCAGACTCTTCTAGTTCCACGTGCCTTGTTTTAATAGATATCATTTATCAGTTATCCGCTTTTAATTTCTCTCTGAAAGTTCTCCACTGCCTTAACTGGGTATTGAACTCACAATCTTTGGGTCCTTCACTGGATCTAACTCAAGGACACATGGCACAGTGGATAAATGCGTTGTTTAGATCTAGTGACAGGGTCCAAAGCCTGTGAGTTCAATACCCGGTTAAGGCAGTGGAGAACTTCCACAGTTCAGTTCGACATTCCAACCACCTGAAGAAGGCTGGAGCGTACAACGGCCGAAACGTTGTAATAAATATGGCGACAAAGATGAGGACAATAGTCCGAATAATGTAAATAGTGTACATAATACCTCATCTCAGAAATATAGACAGATAGTGAAAGGCCGAAACGTTGTAATAAATATAGCGACAAAAATGAGGACAATAGTCCGAATAATGTAAATAGTGTACATAATACCTCATCTCAGATATATAGACAGATACTGAAAGGCCGAAACGTTGTAATAAATATGGCGACAAAGATGAGGACAATAGTCCGAATAATGTAAATAGTGTACATAATACCTCATCTCAGAAATATCGACAGAACCTACCAATCACTCGATGAATGTTATGATCCTTGTTTTTTAAAATCAAAAGCTTTATTAGGTCTTTCTTAAATACGCAAGTACTTTCGAATGTACATTCAGTCATCTTCAGGCTGGAAATTATTTTGTTTTTGGTAAAATTCCGGTAACATCCGAGACGAAATATATAATGCGAATTGAAATATGTTTTTTTGTTTTTTGTTTTTTTAAAATGTATTATTGATAACGGATACAAATGTATTATTGATAACTGATACAAATATTTGGAGCGTGCAGTCGCAACGCTAAGTTTGAATTTTTTTGTAAAATTAAGTGAGCGCGTTTATATATATATATATATATATATATATATATGTAAGCAAATATATGGATATAGATCCGACAGTATGAAGAAAAAAATACGTTTTCACAGCATCGCCCACGTGACGACGACGTGATCATATTAAAACGGAACGCTGATCTTATAAAATATTTCAGTTATCTGTTTGGATTGGTATTGCTTTTATGCCCATCTTTTTCATGTTGAATTGTATATGGTCTAATGTTAATTATGTTTTATGAATATGTCCTGAAGATGGTCTATTAGACCGAAACGTCCGACGTTGACATTAAACATTAAAACAGCATAATCGCATATTAGGATTTTTGTTTGTTTTTTTTTCAGTATAGTATATGTTTCTATATATATATATATATATATATATATATATATATATATATATATATATATATAGATGGATGGATGGATGGTACTTGTGCAATGTATTTCCAGATTTCGCAATGTTAGCGATTCTTACATATCATCTCGGCTTCAGTCGCTTTCCCATCGCCGTAACGGATATTATCTGTGCCTTTTCTATAAATAATTTCATCGTAATTTTTCTGATGAGTTTTACCTCTTTGGTGCCCAGATTTTACGAATTTACGCTCAGTAATATATTGGCAGCAAGGTCTCATCATTTTAAAGTTGAAATTGCTCGATGTAACCATAAATTCTCGTTCCTCTCCTCATACCTCCCGCTAGTGGAACCCACTTCCGGCTTCTTGCATTTCAATCAAAATTGTTCTTGAAAAATTTAAACGCAATGCCTCTCCTTAATACTTGTATTGTTTAACACTTATTAACTAACCACTTGTGTCTTAGTGGCTTTATTGCCTTTTTTGGGTGAAATGATTAAAATATATATATTGATATGTTTAAAAGTTGTTAGTCTTAACAAAATATCTTCCCAAAAAGGCATTGTTTGTTATTTGGTAAAATTTTCGTAACTACGTTGTTTAAGAAAATTTTGGTATATACACCCCTGTCAAAATATAAAATACTGTTACTTTAATCAAAATATATTTACGATACATTTACATTCATTTAGAAAATGTAGATTATCAACAAACAAGTGAATATTTTAAGCTTTTAATTGATTAGCTTATACAAACATTGAAAAAAGGACTTTTTTTGTTGGTCATAAAGATAAGACCATGTAAATAAAAATAGATAATACAGAACAAGTAAGTCACAACGACAATTTAAATCCTCCATTTTTGCAAATAACTTCGCTTTGGCATACGGCATACTCAATATTAGGGTGCTTGGGATGTTCGCCCAAGATGCATAAACTGCAGCACGAAGAGCATCCAGTTTCAAATTGTGATCCATATTTATCAACATCCTTTGCCATCCATCCCCAAATATTCTCGATTAGTTTCTATCTGGAGAGCGTTGTGGATTGCAGCAGTGACCTGTTGGAAAATTCAGTTTTCTCCACACAGACGAGGGCCTTCAGTAATTAGCGATGTCTTTCTTAACATGTCAATGTAACTCGCACTGTAACTGTGA